TTATTTTTTTTTTTTTTATGAAACTAAAATTTCGAGTATAAGTCTTGTTTATTTACCTGAAACCCATGCTGCTATCTGCAAAAGATCATTTCTGAATCCTTCCTTCATGATTCACTGCTTGAGTGTATTCTGTAAGCCTTAACAGACACAATGATTTTTCTCTAACATTTGAGGTACATTTATACCTGTAGTCTTGCTTACTGATAATACAGTATAATGGTTCCTCGATAAAAGGCTGGCTAGAATACCTGTCAGACGTTTATTTGAGTGTGTTGTCTGTACTCATCATGTGCTTTTAACTATGCTTCTTACACGCTTCAGTTCGCCGCATCGACGTATTATTACGTAATTTGAACTGTATTCTTGCTAATCTAGTTTTCTAGGTGCGTATATTAATTATACCGAACACAGGCCAAACAAGTAAGAATGACAAAATTTCTATAAATAAGTCAATGAGATCATTTGATAACATAATTCCTCCCTCTCTTTTTCTTCCTTCCTTCCTTCCTTCTTTTCCTTGGTTGTACGCTTGCTCGCTTAATTTCTTTCACGTCTCCGGTCCCTAACGCATCCATATTTATGCTTTCTTGTCTGCATTCATTCATCTCGGTATCCATTTATCCATCCATCCAACCTTTCGTTCATCCATCCATCGATTCACGTCTTTTCCCTCGTCAACCCATCTCTCTTCCATCTATCTATCCATCCATTCATTCATCCATTCATTTATTTATCCATCCATCCAACCATTCATTCATCCATCCATCCATTAACGTCTTCCCACCCATCAACCCACATCTCTTCAAACCTTGTATCGATTCTTTCCAAAGGACGTCATTGGTAGCTTTTGCATGCCCTGAGTAAGCCTGTGACTCTGACTCTGTAGTTATCASGCAGTGATTTGTCTTGATTTTTATTTTCAAGTTTGTATAATGTTGTGCATTTAATATAGATAAACTGTACGATCAAAGCCCGGTATTTTATCCTATAATAGCGCTTATCCGGTGAATACTTAACTTATTCGCCTTCCGTMCAACCKGCGGCTTCAGGACGATTAATCATARYAAGCCTTGATTTCCCATTATAAAAGAACTAAAGTTTGTGGCATCACTATTCAAGACTCTGGAATTCTCCATCGCTATAACTTTATTTCAAATCTTCTCAGTCCTGAATTAGCTTCATTAGAAGTACTTAGTGATTCGGGGTTCAGTGTTCGAACATCTGAATATCGCGTAACRCTAGCTCTGTATCCGCTTCCACATTTTCAGTTCCCTGATCCGACAACAAATTATAGACTCTGACTCGATTCTCTCAGGACAGCTTCTTCATAAGACGGCGGAGGCTCAAAACTCTGCGAACGATTCAAATCGTCGCTTTCCCATACCTCATCATAACTCGGTGGTGGATCATGACCTACAGTCTCAGGTAGTTCATTATCATAGGTTTG